GGGTGCATCACAGAGCTTTACAGAAATACAACACGCATTATGGCAAAGTGTATCACAGAGCTCTACTGCAATAAAACTCACAGTAGTCTATGATGTGAATACCACACAACTCTGGAGCAATACAAGTCACGTCCCAGTAATACTGCATACAGAATGAATCACAGAGCTCCACTGCAATAATACTCACAGTGATGTACACAGTGCATGTGTGTAGTTTCCATTCAATAAGGAAATAGCTACCATGGAGGTATTGGTCCAGTTCAATTTATTGAACACTGTCAATTACGTTGCAATTTGAAGGGACACTTTATGAAAACTACACATGCATTTCATACAAAGTGTGCATAGCATGGTGGTGGCCTACTTCAACGAAGGCTTAAGGCCTCCACTAGTCCAGCATTGTAGCATACTTTAAAAAAAGTGTCCCTATGTAGGAAAAACTTCTTATTTTGGGAACAAGTCCTTCTGTCCCTCTTTATTAAGTGTTCCATATTGTTCTAATGGACATTTTTGTTGCATAAATTTTTATTAGTAAATTAGTAAAATCAGAACAGCCCCACTCATGGTCACACCCCCACTCATGCCCCAAAATTGTAATGTCCGTTGTTGTTCATTTGAAACGTTGGCAGGTAGAGCATTAACACATGGATCCTTTTAATATTACTACATAAATGGATATGAATTGTTATCTTCAATATACATGGCATCAGTCTGAAAATAATATCAAAAACTGAAGATGAGGGTGGACAAACTCGCAGAGTGTTTTGTAAGCACGCTGTCAGAAGTGATCCATTGCAGGCTATGTGTGAGCTGTAACTATATGCTGAGTTATAGTTTCTCTCGAATAGAAGTTGCTGGCTGGCTGGCATTGTGGAAGCAAAGATCTTGCTGCGAAAAAACCTCCAAAACAGCTGGATGAATCACTCAGGGAAAATTGTCTACTTACAGAGGACTTATGTCGTGTTAGATATTATAACGTAAGTCCAACAGGGCTTAAAATGCAAGAAATATTGAATGTCTAGCTATAAGCTACAAATCCCTTACAATTTCATGCAAGGTTTAAGCGCTATGGAATCTGTTGGCGCTATATAAATGGCAATAATAATAATAATAATTGCATTAAACATTATTCTTTCTTTAAAGCCCTGCTATAATCAAATATATTAGAGACTATGGAAAACAAACAATTGTTTTTATTTATTTTTATTTTCATCAACAGATATAGACTGTCATGGCCTACACTGCTCTAAGCATGTTTTCAACTTGGTTTTGGGGGGGAAAGTGTTAACAATCACTATTTGTCTGCGCTGGATCAGAAATAGAGAGTAAAGAAAATTAAAATAAACTCCTTAATATCTCCCACCTTAAACTCTCGTAACAAAAACTGCCACCACCAAGTTGGTTACCCACCAAAATCAGATTTGAAAACCCCAGAATACGCAATTTAGCAAAATACCAATGTTATCAAAATACTAGTAAATAGGTCTCTTCAGGCTTGTTAATTCAGATACTAGAGCCCAAAGATATAATTAGGTCATGAATATTTTAATAACAAAAAATACGAAATTTACAGACGCACAAATTGCATAGGTGTTAAACGAAGCAAAAAGACAAACAAATACAAAGAAACAAATACATATAAGTTCAGAAAATAAAACTGGACTTAAAACCCAGAACATACACTAGTACAGATATCACTTCTAATCTTACAGTAGGGATCTTCTAGTTTAAGTCCAATCTGTTGGTGTTCAAAAATAAAGTCCAAGAGAAGTTCAGAATGATCTGGGCATATATTCCGTTATATATCCCAGTCCAGTAAAGCCAGGCCCCATGACCAGTTTATAATAGCTGGTTTATTTAGATTGCAGATATGAACTCAACTCATTGATTCAAATAACTTGATTCTTATCTTAAAAGTTCGATCACATAGTTTTGACTGCAGGTACAGCAAGGGTTCTCTGTTAAAGGTGTTACATCACACAGCCCCAGCAATGCTATTCTGATCAGAATTATTTCCAGCCAGATCAGGCAAAAATGCTAAAGTAAAAAATATGAAAAAATTCTAAAAAATTATGGTTATCCCTGGATGCCAAACAAAGACACAGGCAACTCAGGTTAAAACCCCATTAAGGACCAAACTTCAGGAATAAAAGGGAATCATGACATGTCACACATGTCATGTGTCCTTAAGGGGTTAAACCTGCCCACTGTGCATGACATATACATTTCCACAGTGTTACAGCACTTGATTTAAAATTACACAGTGAAGTTCGCAGAGATTTTGGGGACTCAGAATCATACACTCTACAGCAGGCTTGGGCAAACTTGGCACGCCAGATGTTGTGGACTACATCTTCCGTGTACTTTACCAGTATTATGGCTGTAAGAGCATTATAGGAGATGTAGTCCATTACATCTGGAGTGTCGAAGGTTGCCTCCTTTTGCTCTACAGCATTTACCGAGCAATGGACTGGGTCAAGAAGGTGTAAAACTCTCTATTGCAAAGAATAAAGGAACTCTTGTTTTTCTTACGTTTTGTTTTTTTCAGTCAGTTACATCTGCTCCCAAGAACGATGGAAGCATTGGGAAAGATGGAGATTACATCTGCACTACGATAATGAAGTCATAGTTAAAAAACCACAGACAAAATACATGTTTGAGACAGGCCCGAGATTGGCAGTGCAACAGACACCAGGCACCAACCGACACCAGGCAGCGCAGGACTGAGGATATCTGCCTTGACAAAGAAAGATTACATATATGTGAAGATGTCCTGATGTCTTTCTATATGTCCTTTATGGCTGTCACATGTCAGTTTTTCCACACCAAATACTAGACCAACGTACATAATATATTTATAGTTTGCAAAATTCATTATTTGGTCTGTATAGTGCACCCATTGGTACCTTTGACATGATGTGTGACTACCTTGTGAAATGTCCTGATTGTTGCCAATTATGCAACCTGGGCAGAGTTTGGGTCATTCTGTAGATGTGATATCATTCATCACCAATACCACATTAACATTGGGAAAGAAGTTTGGTGAAGCCACAAGACAGGACACATTGTTAAATATCCATGATAATGAGGATAACATATAGTCAAGTGTTTCCTAATCCCAAAGATAGCTAAGGCCAAACATTGTGTTTTGTGGCTCAGCAGTCTCGGTGAGAAGAAAAGAATTGTTCAAGTTATTCGTCAATGAAATGCTGTGGCTAACCAGCTTCTGTTCTTCCCACAAGAACCTCAAAGAGGAAACCACTGCTTGAAAAACACAGGTATTCCCACGAGGTATCTCTTCAAACCCTTCATGTATTTACTAGTAGAATGCTTTGCGAATAAACATTTGGCACAATGTCATGTCATGTAGAAGATAATATAATGCAGAACCTGTAGGTTAATATATTTTAAGACTGACTTAACTCTTGGCTTTATTTTTCTTTATCAATCGATTTATCTATCTGGTTGCAGATCAAGTTATGAGGATACTTTGGGACAATAAATAGGTAGATGGTATCACCAGAACTTCATCTGACCATGTTAGGAAGAGACTGACATGTTAATACTGTCAAATAAAGAAAGACTGTCATGAGAGAAGATCTCTGTTGAATGGATCCTGCACAGTCTGCTGTAGTTCAGTATACCTAAAGATGGTATGTGGTATAGGCAGTAATATCTCACACTCTACGTTTCTCAATCAATGCCATTCAAGCCAAATATCCACCTTCATTACATTGAAGAAGTTCTTTGCCATTAGTAAAATGCGTTATCAGGGCTATCCACACTAAAGACAGCCTACTTCGTCTTCTCAGAACAACATAGAGCATCATGTTGTATAATAAAAGCAGACTGAGGATGATAGGAGTAGCAGTAACAGAATGCTATTCAGTACACTGCATGGGGCCAACAGGTGCGCACTCATTGCTTATTTAAGATGATTTAATCCAAACGTGTAGAGCTCAGTTGTCAGGGATTGTTTGAGATTTTTACTTTTTTTTTTTTTTAACATACAATATAATAATTATCACTGATTAACGTTGCGAGTATTACCCTAAATTTCTCATGTCTCTCAGGCCGTGGATAACTAATGACAGACACCTCTTATGTAATCCAATTTTCATTCAAAACTTGTTTAATTCCATATCATTATCTATATTATTTCTTCTTTTTTCACTATATATACACATTGGGTATTTGAACAGGAAACTGGGAGGTAGCTTCTATGTATATATTATAAATAGGTAGGTAGGTAAATAGACATATGTGCATGCATACATACAAAAACACACACAAACAGTAAGCTAAACGTGCATTTTATTGCAATATAAATGAGCCAAAAAGGTCCCGTCAGTGAGAATGCGCTGCCTCCCTCTGCAGACAGACATTCGGCTATAAATAGATATTTTGACAGATTAAGACAGATCTGTGAATAGATTTCATACAGTTCATTGATACTGTTGATAAATGAATAGATGCTGAACTGAGAATTATAATAGAGCTTCTGTACGGGAAGACAGAAAATACAGCAGAGTGACTCGAAAAATCAATCTGCCTCCTTTATTACCAGAGAGCTCTCTTCCCCCTCAGGTGAGGCTTGGCGTGCATTAACGGATGATCTTGAGCCGTATTTGTTCAAACATGGGAAAGATGAATAGAAAATAATTATGCTCATCTTACTTTACAAAAAATTCATCTTATTTAAGCCATTAGCTTTATCCTTACAGGATACATTTAAACTCTAAAATATTTTGGCTGCCAAATTTGAAAACCAATGTCCCAAAGCACACGACTAGTCCATAGTGTATAGGGTGGCCTTGTTCTCTGGTGGCATTTAGTCATTCCATCCATGTTTCATGTCGAATTTGCACTTCTAGAGGTGCAACACAATTTGTGATTATGATTATTCTAGGTTCATTTTTAAATATAACAAGTATAATGGCTATCGCTGGAATCCAGACGCATCCTTCATCTTTCAGCCTTGTGTTTAAGAGCTTTTCTTGGAAGCTCCCACCCTACCCGAGTGGAATGTTCTCCCCGGCCTTTCCCACCTCCTATAACCTTCGATCTGATGGTATTAAATTGGAGGTTATAGGAGATGGGAAAGACGGGGAGTGCATTCTACTCAGGTAGGGTGGGAGCTTCCCAGAAAAGCTTTAAATACACTTTATTTAGTATACCACATTACAAAAATAAAGTGGTTTGATCCTCATTTTCCTACAGAGCACCACACTTCTAGAATAACCTCCCGGAAGAAATCTAACCTTCCTCCAGTATAAAATCCTTTAAGAGATCTCTGTTAACATATCTCAATACAGAATGCACATGTAATGGGTGATTATATTTCTTACATGTGCTGTGTTAATATATATGTGTATTTAAATATTATTTTGTAATTTTAATATTATACTCTCTTGCAACAATGGAATGTTTGTGGGCCTAGGATATGCTTGAAAATGAGAGAAATCTCAATGTATCCTTCCTGGTAAAATATTTTATAAATAACTAATGTAAATAAATGTAGTTGCATGCACATTTCAATTATAAAAATGTGCATACAAGCAGTAGGGGATGATTGGATCAGCAGCAGGGGACCACTGAGATTTTAGTGAGAAAAGTTTGCCATTGATGTAAATTCACACTATTAGGGATGGTCAGATTAAATTTAGATGGTAGTCAACTATAGTTACATAGCTGAAAAGAGACCTCTGTCCATCAAGTTCAGCCTTCCTCACATCTGTTTTTGCTATTGGCATCTACAAACACTGAAACATGACTTTCCATGTCTATTTTAAGGTCACCTATAATTATGTTAAATACTTGTTATTTTTGATGGTTTTAGCAACATATTAAGCTTACATTTTCTTTAAGTCTGTCCAATGCCAGCCTCTTACAGACAAGATAGGTGCCAATCAGTGATACATGTGCAATGCGTAGAGATTGTTCATGCCAATCAATTGGGTAGAAGATGCCGAGAATATTGGTTTGACATATACATGCAGCAGGGGAGCACAAATGGGCAACATGGGTGGTGCGATTTCTAAATCTGGAGCACTTACAGCCAAACACATCCAAGGTACCACCAATTATAAGGTACTCTCAACTTTAGTTTAATTAGGACTTGCCAGATTTCACCTGGTGTCCTGATCTGGCAGGGCAGTAGACAAAAACACTCTCTGCACCCCAAAAATACATCTAGCCTAGACGTGAAAAAGTGCCCTCACTCTAGCACAGGTTTAGGCAACCTTCGGCACTCCAGATATTGTGGAATACACGTCCCATTATGCCAATACAGCCATAATGCAGGCAAAGCCTTAGGCACAGCATTTGGAGTTCCAAATGTTGCCTACCCATGCTCTAGAACAGGGGTGTGCCCAAAGGCAGATAGATCCCAGATATTTTAAAACTTTTCTAAAGGAATGCAAACATCATGGGATTTGTAGTTCTACAACATCTCAACATCTGGGGATCTACCTTTTTTGGAACCCCTACTCTAGACCATGTTTCTTTCAAGATGGACCGGTCTGATTTGATGGAGGGGTCCTCCATCCTGTACGAATGAGGATTACGTTCTCCATGTCAGTGAATCTGAAAACCAGCACAGAACATAAACACTAGCAAATATTACTGCTTACTGAAACAATATGTGGTTTTCTGCATATACTCTCCGCTGTGCTTCTGAAAGTTACAATTTTATTAAGACCACACATCTTTTACATAATAAAACTCCTGGGGGAGTAGAATAATATATACACAAGCAAAACGTACTATTCTTAATAATAATAATGTATTTTAAGAATAAATGGCATTGGCTAAGGGAGGACGCTGTAATCCAACAACAGCTGGACGCACATCGCAAAGTCTTGTTTTAAATCCTTTCATGTTACAAGAGATAAGCATTTAATTTTCTATCCTGTTAGTACTGATGCAGTTAAAAAACAAACAAAAACAAAAAAACATATGTACTAAGGCTTACATGTATGAACGCACGTATAACTATCTGAAACTCTGCAACACGGAAGAGAGAATGGAAAACAAATTCATTGTAAGGATTGTAGAAAAAAAGAAAAAAATAAGAATTTAAGAACTAAGGTTTATAAGTATTTTTATTTCAATTCCAAAAGGAGCTATTATAAGAACGGTGTGTCAACTTAACCTGATGTATAAATTACTAAAGTAAATTAATGGACAGATAAAAGTCCTTTGGCTTTAAATATTAAATTATTAAACAAGCAATTCTGGAAAAGCAAGGGCAAGGTAATTGACAAGGAAAAAAACAAAAAACATGTAAGTGTAGTTTAGCAGTAGACAGATGGGGGTGCACAGCATCTATTTGCGTTATTACACCCGACGCCTTTACTATTTCTAAAATTGTCTTTGCCTTCCAGGATTTTCACTATCACTAGTTAAGAGGGCTGCTGTTTAAATCCCCTACGCTCACATTCATCCTACATTATGTATGTAAAGTTTGAATATACTTCAATGAACAATACATGTAATTGCTTATTTTAATGTCCTTCTTAAAAAAAACAAAAAGTAGTTCATCTGGCATGTCTACTAGATTACCAAGTTGAGACATAAATGTATTACTTTTCCTTAATTAAATAAAAATAAACAAATAAATAAAATTCTAAATTCTTTATAAGGCAGAAAAAAAAAAAAAAGTTGGATTGAAATTCACTGCAATGCAAATGGTTAACCACTGAGACTATAGTCACCATAACTATTTTAGCTTAAAGGGGACACTCCAGGCACCAATAACCTCCCACTTCCCCTCATGTCAGTAAATTCAATACAGTATCAGCCCCACCAGCACTGAGCGAGCGGTTTTTAATTCACAACCAGGCTGCAGACAGTCAGAGAAACTACAAACAGGTAGTGAGATCCTTACTATATGTCTCCCTGGGTGTCCTCTCCTTCTAATGCAGGTTGATTTGTTGTTCAGCTCATTCAGTAGCTGAGTTGTCGCATACCTTTTGATAAAGAAGTATTTTTCTGGAGTGAGGGGATGTGGCTTAAGATACAGATTTCTTGTGTAGCATTCTGCATGCAAAACATTTATTGGTACCCGGAGTGTCTTAATATAGCAGGTCGTATGTATAGATCTTACCTTTGAAGTCTCACTGCTCAATTCCCTGGCATTAAGAGCCAAATCACTTTTGTATATGTCGATGTAGCCCTAGTCACACCTCCCTTGGCTGTGATTACACAGCCTGCATGAAAAAAAATAGCTTCATTTTCAATCAGATGCTAACTTACTTTAGAAGAAGTATATCTCCTACTCAGTAAATTGAACTTTAATCACAAAGAGGAGGTTCCTGCATGGTCAAGCAAGCTATTAACTGAGCATGAGATAAGAAATTCTAAATAAAACAGAATAAGCAATTAAGGAAGCATATATATTAAATCTCACTTTACAGGAAGTGTTTTTCAAGGCTGTGCACATTACATGCACATGCAGGGGGGTATGACATGCAGGAAGGTATGCATTAAACTCCTAAATGTCAGAGAATTGAGCAGTGAGACTGCAGGAGCATGATCTATACACCAAAACTGCTTCATTAAGCTAAAGTTGATTTTTATAATAGTATTTTTTTTAATTTTTTTTGCACCTACATATCTATGGAAAACAAAAAGGAAAAAGTGGAGGGAGAATGCACCAAAACAATAATAAACACATTAAAAATAACAAAACTATAAAAAATGTCTAAGTCTTCCGTATACTTTATCCGTATACGGAGAAAGCATTCTCTGATAATTTATTCTGTGTTTTTACGGATCCCTTTGGAATAATACAATCATCCTATGTTTAGCAGAATCTCGTAAATCAAAATATTATATTGCGCTCCGATTATGAAGAAGCTTAGTAATCTAACTTCAGTTTGCTTATGAAATTTACTAGTTTAATCACCAAAGGCACTTGCTTTTTCTCTTCCTCGAAGCATCAATTTTGATCACCAACATGGTGTATAATAACAAAATGTCATCAATCGTAATTTCTAATAACCAGGTTAAGACCGGGTATATTTCTTACATTTTTATTAACGTCTAGATAAATAGCCTAAAGGGGACAACTGTAAACTTTGACATATTTAGGATTATCTTTTATCACGGTGGAGGCTTCTAGATGAAAGTAAACAGCAAAGCTGTAATCCAAATCATTAAATGGTATATATGTATATTTATTATTATTATTATTGCCATTTATATAGCGCCAACAGATTCCGTAGCGCTTTACAATATTATGAGAGGGGGGATTTAACTATAAATAGGATAATTACAAGAAAACTTACAGGAACGATAGGTTGAAGATCTTACAGTCTATAGATTATTATATATATATATAAATAAAAGATGACTAATATGGCTAATCCAATCTACATATACACACATACATACGATCATTATCCACTGGTGAAAAATGTATATATAGTGTAGGGGTGTAGGAAGTATCCCAAGTCTTCTCTAACTAAACAAACAACAGATACATTCAAAGATAACAAAACCGCTTTATCCTGAGATGAAAACATGAGAATGGCATGATGAAAACATTTAGATGTTTTAAAAAGATATGACTAGTAGTGAATGGGTTTAGAGCATTACATATGCTGTTCGAACCTGTCAAATGACTGTTTAAGAATTCTAGATGCTATGTGCTCTTTGTTTATTAAGACTACCAACTCACAATACTCTTTTTCCCCCATCCCTTACAGCTTTCCGATTCTCTCTCTTCAATCTGGGACAAACCATCTGTCAACCTCTCCAGTAAGCCTACATGTACCTCCAGTTCTTCACTTCAGCCGCCCTCCCTTGTCTATCCACTGCTTCTCCAATTTAGCCTCCCCACTATGTAAATCCATGTAGCTTAAAGGCAAGTTTTGCTCTAGTTATGCTTTTTAGAAATCTACAGATAGACTCATTACTTTAACTGGCTATGCCTCTTCTCTAATTCTTCAAATTAACCTCCCCATAACTCTTCTCTGTTTATTTACTTCAACCTCAATATTTATTCAGCACTGTCACCATCTGAGGACTTTGCAAAACATTGCTGCTAGAAGGTCCGGTGGCCAGCAGGGGGAGGGAAAATCAAGTTCTACTTACCTGAACCTGTCCCTCGTGGATGTCAACATCTTCTCCTGGTGGGTTCT